AGGATTAACAGGCTGAAGAAAGAAATTAGGGAAAGGACACCCTTCACAATAATCACAAATAACATAAAATATCTTGGTATGACTCTAACCAAGCAAGTGAAAGATCTGTATAACAAGAACTTTAAGTCTCTGAAGAAAGAAATTGAAGAAGATCTCAGAAGAAAGAAAGATCTCCCATGCTCATGGATTGACAGGATTAATATAGTAAAAATGGCCATCTTGTTGAAAGCAAATTACAGATTCAATGCAATCCTCATCAAAATTCCAATTCAATTCTTCATAGAGATAGAAAGAGCAATTTGCAAATTCATTTGGAATAACAAAAATCCAGGATACCAAAAACTATTCTCAATAATAAAAGAACTTCTGGGGGAATCACCATCCCTGACCTCAAGCTGTACTACAGAGCAACAGTGATAAAAATTGCATGGTATTGGTACAGAGCCAGGTAGGAAAATCAATGGAATAGAAATGAAGACCCAGAAATGAACCCACACACCTATGATCACTTGATTTTTGACAAAGGAGCTAAAACTATCCAGTAGAAAAAGGATAGCATTTTCAACAAATGGTGCTGGTTCAGCTGGAGGTCAGCATGTAGAAGAATGCAAATCAATATATTCTTATCTCTTTGTACAAAGCTCAAGTCCAAGTGGATAAAGGGCCTTCACATAAAACCAGATACATTGAAAATAATAGAAGAGAAAGTGGGGAAGAACCTTGAATACCTGGGCACAGGGGAAAAGTTCCTGAACAGAACACCAATGGCTTATGCTCTAAGATCAAGAATTGAAAAATGGGACCTCATAAAAATGCAAAGCTTCTGTAAGGCAAAGCACACTGTCAATAGGACAAAATGGCAACCAACAGATTGGGAAAAGATCTTTACCAATCCTACATCTGATAGAGGGCTAATATCCAATATATACAAAGACCTCAAGAAATTAAGACTCCAGACAACAAAATAACAAATGGGGTACAGAGCTAAACAAAGAATTCTCAGCCCAGGAAACTCGAATGGCCAAGAAGTACCTAAAGAAATGTTCAACATCCTTAGTCATCAGGGAAGTGAGAATCAAAACAACCCTGAGATTCTACCTCACACCAGTCGGAATGGCTAAGATCAAAAACTCAGGTGATAGCAGATGCTGGTGAGGATGTGGAGAAAGAGGAACACTCCTCCATTGTTGGTGAGATTGCAAGCTGGTACAACCACTCTGGTAGTCAGTCTGGTGGTTCCTCAGAAAATTGGAGATTGTATTACTTGAGGACCCAGCTATACCATTCCTCGGCATATACCCAAAAGATTCTCTAACATATAGTAAGGACACATGTTCCACTATGTTCATATAGCCTTATTTATAATAGCCAGAACCTGGAAAGAACTCAGATGTCCTTCAACAGAGGAATGGATACAGAAAATGTGGTACATCTATAAAATGGAGTATTTCTCAGCTATTAAAAACAATGAATTCATGAAATTCTTAGGCAAATGGATGGAACTAGAAAATGTCATTCTGAGTGAGGTAACCCAATCACAAAAGAATACACATGGTATGCACTCACTGATAAGTGGATATTAGCCCAAAAGCTCGAAATACCCAAGATACAACTCACAGACCACATGAAGCTCATGAAGAAGGAAAACCAAAGCGTGGCTGCTTTGGTCCTTCTTAGTAAGAGTACAAAATACTCATGGGAGCAAATATGGAGACAAAACATGGGACAGAAACTGAAAGAGTGGTCGTCTGGAGACTGTCCCACCTGGGTATCCATCCCATGTGCAGTCACCAAAGGTAGATGCTGATGTGAATGCCAAGAAGTACATGCTGACAGGAGCTTGATATAGCTGTCTCCTTAGAGGTCTGCCAGAGCCTGATAAACACATAGGTGGATGCTCACAACTAACCACTGAACTGATCATGGGGTTCCTAATGAAGGAGGAGTGAGAGAGAAGACTCAAGGAGCTGAAAGGGTTTGCAGCCCCATGAGGAGAGCAACAATACCAACCAACAAGAGTTCCCAGGGTCTAAACCACCAGCCTGGGAGCACTTAGGGAGGGATCCATGGCTCCAGCTGTATATTCAGGGGATGATTGCCTTGTTGGGCATAGGTAGAAGAGGAGGTCCTTGGTTCCATGAAGGCTGGATGACCCAGTGTGGGGGAATTCAAGGGTGAGGAGGTGGGAGTGGTCGGATGGGTGGGGGCACATCCTCATAGAAGCAGGAGGAGGGGGGATAGGATAGGAGGTTTCTGGGTAGGTGGGAGGAAATGGGGAAAGGGGATAACATCTGAAATGTAAATACAATATCCAATAAAAAAATCAAAATAGCACAAGTAAATGCCTGAATACATTTCAAAAATTTGAAAAAACAAGAACAGGCCAAATTTAAACCCAGTGGAGAGCATGAAATACTAAATATCAGAGCAGAAATTAATGAAATAGAAAAAAACCCAAGTAATACAAAGAGTTAATCAATCCTGTCAGATCTGGTTCTTTGTGAAGATAAACAAGATTAGCAGAACCTTGGCCAACTTACCAAAAGAAAGGGACAGAATGAGAGATGAACAGGGAAATAAAACAGACACCAAAGAAACTCAGAATGTTATAAGCAGATACTTTAAAAATCTGTGCTCCATTAAGCTAAAAAAATCTAAAAGAAATGGATGAATTCAGCAAAACCACCAAAGAAGTCAAGGAGGAGACTGAAATAGGAATAGAAAGCCTTCCAGCTATGCAAATCCAAGGACTAGATGGAGTCATAGCAGAATCTATCAGATTTTCAAGGAATACCTGCAGTCAGTCCTTCTCAAACTATTAAAAAATAAATAAAAAACAAGAAAAGCAAACAAACAACAACAACAAAACAAGTAACAGGAACATCCCCAACCTCCTTGTATATAGCTGGTATCACCCTAATACTAAAACTAGGTAAAGGCACAACAAAAGATGAAAACAACAATGTCAGTGATGAATATAGTTTCAGAAATGTTCAATAAATGCTAACAGAATACAGACATCTATCAAAAAGATTATATACCATGACTAAGTTGGCTTTATCCATAAAATGCAGGGATATTTCCACATATACAAGTCTATAAATGTAATAAACTAAATAATATACTTAAAAAATCACATGTTCATCTTAATTAGAAAAACAAGGATGTCTGAAAAAGTTATAAGGAATCAAACTATTAAATATACACTTAAAAATCCTGTAATACACATAATTCTTTGTATAAATATACATATGAAGTTTTAATGAACTATATTCTTCCAGGCTGACAACATTCCCTCCAGAACTCAAAGGTCACCTAACAAAAAACTCTAATACCATATATGTGATTTGTATTTATTTTGAGTGTTGGCTAGGGTTATTTAAGAAACTCCTCAAATGCACACCCTATTGCTATTAACCCTGGTTGCCACACCCAGAGGTAGAAGGTAATTCTCAATTGCTGAAGACACCAAGAACTTCAGAAACCAGAGCTGGGAATGCCCTGAATGTTCCTTTAGAGGACTAGCTTTCATGTATCAGAAAGCTTCCAAAGAAGGGAAGCAATCAACAGTCCTCTATACTAAAATACTTATGAACCACTCCAGTGTCCAAGATGTAACAATAACCTTACAGGTGCAGTAGGACACACATATCTAGGCAGTAATCCACAGATCTCAAATTAGACAAGATCTGCTCAGCAAGAGGGAAACTGGTAAACTACTAAGTGCTGGTAAAGTCATGGATACTAGAGAGAACATACAACTAGTACTTTACTAACTCAGTATAATCCGTAGCAACAATCTAAAAACTTGTCTTAACACCCACAGAGAAGTGAAGTTTTCATTCCTCATCAAAAACACTTCAAACAGACAAAACTCACTGCAGAGACCTACCATCAATCAAAATGCAAGTTGTGAAGATCTGTTCCAATGCATACAACTACAAAACATGCCTGTACCTAAGGCTCAGGGAACATTATAGCATTTTAGTAGAATTGTAGAACATTGTTTAAGAAGGGGGACAGAAAGATCCTAAGACCCAGAGGATCAGAGAGTTTGTTGTGAGACTGTGTCTCCTAGTAGCGTCAGAAGAGACACTTATAACATCTTACTATCATGACTGCCTAAACATGAGCTGAACAAGGACAACATGCCAAAGTGGATGAGGAAAAGACCATGAGGTGTCAACTAAGGAATGCTGAACGTGGGAGAAACAAGTGTTCCCCATGGAAGTGGGCTAATTATCCAATACCAAATGGTTAGTCCTCGATTCACACATACAAATAATACCACAGAGACTGAGCAGGTTATATTTAGAAATATATACACATATGCATGTAATGACAATTAATGAAAAAAGAAGCCATGAGGCTGAAAGACATCTAGGAGGGGTTTATCAGAGAGTTTGGAGGGAAGAAAGGGAAGGGAAAATGGTACAATTATTTTATAATATCAAAAATAAAAAATAATTAAAGTATGTTTTTATAGGTTTCATGAAGGGAAATTAATTTTTCTTACACATTTCATTTTGAATGATATAAGAAAACAACAGGTAAAAAATATGAGCAAACATCATCTCTTAACCAATGTGTGTCCTTGTGTGAGTGTGAGTATATATATGTATGCGGTATGAATGCAATATTTATTAAGATTCCTGAGTCATTGTGCCAGTGAAGCCACATCCATAAACCCAGTGACATCTATTACCTCCAGCTAACTGGCAGTGGTGAGCTGGCCTCTCAGTTCTGCATGCAAAGAGTTGGCCTGCTCTTGGGGCTTTTCAGCCTAGGAAAGGAGACAGATCCTTATAATGTTCTACCAACCTGGGAATCCATAATCACTAGATTAATTTACTAAAGGAAATGAACTTTTAGAGGTAATTGGAGGCTTTGCATTTAATTCTAGGAACTATGATACCTTATGACTGGAGGGTGGATGCATTAAATATATTAACTGAAATCATTGTAATATGTACAGTCTTCTGCAGCATGCATTGTCTTACCTTGATCTTTTGGTGGTACTGATGAAGAACTCCGCATTATGATGTATATGACCCAAAGAGTAGCTTTCCTAAAATATTCAAGCACAAAGAATCATTAGGAAGCAGTTGAGATATTTTGTTAATACACAGTAAAGTATGAATTATACAAGCTTTTGAAAATTGTTTCCCTTCTTATAACTAAGTGGATGGGAAATGCTGGAGTGGACTGGAGGAGGGATACTGGGCCACTCTTTGAGGGCCAACCTGCACCCCTGCTCTCAGTCATGGAGAAGTAAGCAAAGTGAAGAGGCTCTCAAAATGTTTGCCTGATAGTTAACTATATTGCATACATCTTGTTTGAAAAATAACTACCAAAATAAATTACAAATACTGATAATTAAGTTCCTAAAACAGACACTAAAATGAAAATCATAAGCTATAACAACTCTAACATAGTCACTTAACAGAGTATAGTCTTATCAACATAAACTGTGAGTACAAAGCCTGTGAAAGAGCATCCGAAGTGCTGACACAATCATACTAAAGGCAGATGCCAGCACTGTAGTCATACAGGAAAGCACACGGTGGCAAATTCACACATATGTCTGCACTGTGCTTGGTCATGGAATTCCAAGTTTTCCCTTTCAGGTTACCAAGTTTCCAAGTTGTCTACACATTAACCAGCATCATCTGGCCCTCACTATTTATGGGGCTTGATACTGAGAACCCCTCAGAGATCAGAAGTCAAGGATATCTGGTGTGTTATTTGCATATAATCCAATACAGTCTCCTGTATACTTAGAATCATTTCTAGGTTACTCCAATAGTTAGATACAATGTAAATGTTATATAAATAAACAGTTGTACATGGGTGTATCCAACCTGAGGCCTATGGGCTGAATGTCTCCCAAGATTGCCATTAATGTGGTTAAGCACATTTGTAGGTGAGAGAGTCCTGTCAAATTAACTTATTTGAGCCTAGCATGGCCTGGAACTCATAATAATATTTCTTCTTCAGCCCCCCAAGTATGAGTAACATTCTCAGCTATAGATGTAGCTTAAAAAATATTTCTGAAGCAAGGCATGGTAGTACATGCCTATAAATCCTAGCACTTGGAGCTGGAAGCAGAGAGATGAATAACTCAAAGTTAGCAGCCTAGGTTATATGACAGCTTGTCTAAAAAACAAAACAATAAAACATATCACCACACCACCACCACCACCACCACCACCACCACCACCACCACCACCACCATTATCACTATTACTATGAGACAGGTTTCTCTACGTAGTTAAGGATGGATGGTCTGGAACTTACTATGTAGACCAGGTTGGCCTTGAACTTGCAGAAATATGCCTGCCTCAGTCTTTTCCAAGTGCTGGAATTAAAGTCATGCATCACCACATGGGCCAAAAACTTATTTTGAGGATGTGAAATGCAGATATGGAAAGGTAACTGTGTGTGTATAAAAAAAGACAAGATCTTTGAAAAAAATATTAACCAACGACTTCCGGTTTGGGCCCGAGCATAGAGTAGGTCGCAGGCGGCAGCTCCGTACTCAACCCCAGAAAACCGAGAGAAACAGGGACTCCCAGGAGCTTGAACTCAAGCAGCATCCCAGGCAAAAATGAATCACCCGTGATGCCTGCTATTAGAAGTTCTAATCCAGATGGGACAGAAGCCAGGATCCTCGCCCTTACCCTCACCCCCTACCTTTTCCCAGCTGCACAAGGTTCCCTGAAGCTTGGCAACTGCAAGATCCTGCTTGGCAACTGCAGATAGACTCAAAGCAGTGTACCATATCATCTGAAGAATAGCAAGGAGACCATAACTCAAGCAGTGTACCATATCTTCTGAAGAATAGCAGGTTGCAGTCCTCCTCGCCCCCACGAATAACTAGGGCCTGCCAGTCGGGTCAAGTGGCACCCAGACGTGGGGCTCGAGGCACGGACCCCTCTGGACGGACCCTCATTGAGAGGATGTGCGCAGGACATCAAGATTGAGCGAGACAGAGATCATCGCCCGCGACCTGTCATCCACGGAACCAGGTTGATGCTGCCATCAAGAAGACGGTTGAAGTTCATTACCATCAGCCGAAAATTGAAGAGGATCCAGAAGTGACTCTGCAGGAGACTGACACAGCTGCCAGCTCCCTTGCCTCCCCCCTACGGTCGACCGCTAGACTTCCACGCCCTCCAGAAGGGTTCCTGGTATGCCTGGCTTTGCCCCCGTTTCTCTCGATAGAGAGCTTGGCCTCTTGATCACCACAACAAAAATTGGCTTTTTCCTAAACCAAGGCCGCCCTTGATATGGCCGCTAACATTGGGGAGCCTTCCTTTATGACAATATTACACCCCAAACTGACAAATGGTTGGTAAATTGAACATTTACAAGGGACTAGGATGGCTGTGAGTTAGCCCAATGACGGGATTATTGTAGGTCCACTTCCCAGGGGCCCACCCAATGCAGCCAAAAAGGAGTGCGTGGTGCTGGGAGTGGGTGCAGCCTACATGGCCTAAGACAGGGCTCTCACCCTCCTTTCACCCACATCGGAGTCCCTTGACGTTGCCCATCGTCGACAGCCTAAAACCTTCGACCATCGATGTGACTCATCTCACATCAGTGTTTTGGGGTTGTGAACTTGTCTAAGACCCCCCATAATTAGACATCCAAATTCAAAATTCACATAGTTGGGATTGATCATAAGACGCCTTCTCTAACTAAACAGAGAAGGGGGAGATGCCAGAAGCCAGGACCCTCGCCCTTACCCTCACCCCCTACCTTTCCCCACCTGCACAATGTCCTCTGAAGCTTGGCAACTGCAAGATCCTGCTTAGCAACTGCAGATAGACTCAAAGCAGTGTACCATATCATCTTAAGAATAGCAGGGAGACCATAACTCAAGCAGTGTACCATATCTTCTGAAGAACAGCAGGTAGATCATAATTCAAGGCAGTGTACCGTATAGACCATGACATGTTTCAAGGCACAGACCAAGAAGATTTTGTACTTTTCCACCACCTGGCCCCTCTTACCCCCTCCCCTTGTAAAACATGCTATAAAAAAGCATTTCATGTTCAAAAATAAATTATTTATAAAAAAAATATTAACCAACATTTTTATAAGCTTTTTAAGTACAGATTTTTTTCTAAGCAATATCAACAACAAAAATAGTTAAGGTCAAGACTGAAAGTGGGTTAAAAAAAGGTACAATTTTTAAAACAAATACAGAGAAATAGGGGCCACAACTGTCCTTCTACATCAACAACAAAAAGTAAGGATAAACTAGGTAACAGAACCTTTTTAAAGACAACAGAAAGCAGTTCATAAAAAAGATCCCAACAAGACTGGAGAGACAGCTTAGAGGGCTGGAGCACTGTCTCGTCTCCCAGAGGATTTGGGTTAGATCCACTGCCCATGTGGCAGCTCACGACTGTCTAACTCCAGTTCCAGAGGACCTGATGCTCCTTTTCTGGCCTCTACAGGTCCCAGAAATCTAAGTGGCAAACAGACATACCATAGGAAAATACCCATGCACATAAAATACAAACAAACCTTTAAAACAGTATCAAAACACAAACAAACAAACAAACCCCACAACAATGGATTCCAAACAGATAGGAAACCACAACAGGGAGCTCAATAACTGTACACAGGAAGCAGGGGCCTGACTCTCTCAGCAAAATGGAAGAAGAGAGTCTCCATTATGTTTCTCTTTTCTTACAATTCTTCAGCATGCAAAGAAGCTATAAAATATCATCCATAATGTAGAAAATAAGAAAAAGTTACCGAGATGTTATTAATAATAGGTAAAAATATGAGGTATTTATTTCATGTTAATGGATTGCTTATAAGGAATGTTGGAAGAATACTAGCAAATCTTAAGGTAGAACAAGACACTACCCAAAATGAAACCCAGAATGGGAAGTTAAACAAAAGCAAAATACAGAAAATATAAAGCATCATGAACTGAGCTGTAGGACAAATGAAAAGTTCATGTCAATAGCTGGAGAGGAGAAAGATGGAAAGACAGGAAAGTTTAAGAAATATTAGCCCAAAACACTGATAAAACTGTAAACATACAGATCCAAGCACTTAAAAAATCTGTAAAATACAAGAAAGACAAAGATCATAGCAAAGACCTACTCAAAACAAGTGAAAAGAAGAAAAATGGAAGGGCACCTGGAGAGTATGCTATTCCTTACAGAGAACAATGTGTTAAGAATGGCAAGGGATACCTTATTAGAAACAATGCAAGTAAGAAAATACTATCCATGAAGAAGGGAGAGAGAGAGAGACAACCTGCAGTCAAAGTCCTATGTCCCTCAAAGAAATGCTGGGCCCAGACAGATTCTCTAAAGGATCTTGAGTGGTTAAGGAAGAAACTACTCCAACCATACACAAATTCTCAGAAACAGAAAAGCTAGGTTTGAGCAATGGCTCAGGTATGAGCAATAGCTTAGTTGGGAGAATGCTTGCTGTGCACGCATGAGGACCTGAGGTGGGATCCTCAACACCCATGTAAAACTTGGGATGATTGTACATGCCTGCGATTCCAGCACTGAGCGGACTGGAGCTTGCTGGAGCTTGTATATAGTAGAATACATGGAACTCCAGGTCAAGTGAGAGACTCTGTCTCAAAAAATATCATAGAAAAGCAATGGAGGAGATGTCTGAAGTCAGCCTCGGGCCTCCACATGCACACACAAGTGTACCTGTATATGCAAACAATACATATACACAAAGAAAACGGAAAAGAAGTTATTTCTTACTATTTAAGGACAAAGCAGTATCTAGACACTAAAGATAGACAAAGACTTTATGAGAAATGAAACTAAATTATTATTCTGCCATGAGCATACATGCAGAAATAACAAATAAGATTTTAGCTAATCAAATCTAACAATATGATACCATATTGTAGCTTCAGCAATACATACTTGGCTCGACATTCAAAATTAATGTCATTCATATACTAATCAACTAAAAAAAAGAAAACTATGCAATAATCTTAATAGGTACAGAAAATACATATGATTATGATGTAAATCCATGTCTGGTAAGAACTTTAAGAAATAATTAATTAAT